AGTACCTGCGGTCCAAGCTGTGCAGCCTCTTTGAGAGCGACTACATTTTCGACAAGTTTGAATGCTCAATTAACGGCTCTGATACGTGAGTGTTGTGTAGTTGATTTGTAGGACTCAACTAACTATTGTTCTTTACAACAGTCACCTCATGACGGGCTCGTACAACAACTTTTTCAAGATATTTGACCGTCGGACGAAGCGGGACGTGATGTACGAGGCCACTAAGGAGATTGCCAGCTCACTCAGTGGTCTCAAGCCCAGAAAGGTACTGATCTTTTGTGTGGGAGATTTTATGCTGACTACTACTTTCCTTATCAGGTGTTTAGCAATTCGGTGACGACGGCCAAGAAGAAGAAGGACGAGATGAATGTGGACAGTCTGGACTTTACCAGCAAGATTCTGCACACTGCCTGGCATCCAGAGGACAACATTATTGCCGTGGCGGCGACAAACAATTTGTTTCTATTTAAAGAGTGCGGCGATTCGTCGCAGCTTCCACAACAGGGCGTCCTTCAGCAACCAGTGCCAATGGAGTCAGAGTAAGTGGTAGCAGGTTGGAAAATGGACCCGTTTTGTTTGCCCACGTCTGTCTATATTTTTGTCCACTAACTGAGAGGGAGGAGCTTCAGCAGTTTTGATTGGAGAGGTCATGGCAGCCTCCCAATGACTGAACGAACCGAGTTCTTTTTGCCGATTATCTTCCTTTAGTCTTTTAACATAATTTACACTCACATTTTACTTTTACTTTTTATTACCACCTCCTCTTTCTTCCTTCTTTTCTTTCTGTCGCTTCATTGCTTATCGCGCCGTTCCACGTTCTTCCACATTCTTTTTGCACCTTTCCCTTTTGCTTCATGTTGCATTTTTCTTCCAGACACCACACCACACACAAGTCACACCCATTATATGTACACTAATTAAAGAGGCTCTAGGGTCTATGATGGATCGTCGAGACTGTTTTAGGTGAATACTCTGAAATGAAATCGACGGCTGTAGTAGATGCATGCAAATTTTTTAAATCAGCGAGGTGAAAATATTTAAAGATGGAAAGAGTTTGAACAAGGCGAGCGAAGCGAGCCTTGTTCAAACTCTTTCCATTTCTTTAAATTGTTTTTCATTTCTCGCTGATTTAAAAAATTTGCTGGATTCTTAATGCGC